AACCACTGTGCTGCTAGCCTGCAAGAGGATCCTGAGCTCCAGAAAGGAATGCGGCCCAGCAGACACGTGGATTTCAGCCTGTGGGGCCCCGAGCAGAGAGCTCGGTGTGGCTGTGCCCAGGCTTCTGACCCACAGAAGCTGTCAGGTAACACACTTTTGCTGTTTTAAGCTGCTAAATTTGCAGCCATTTGTTACATAGCAATAGAAAACGAAAGTACCACCTCTTCCCAATTTGGAGGAAGTTTTATTTTTTTCCTCCTTAAACGCATAAGTGACAGCAGCAGCAACAGAACATCTGAAATCTTGTCAGGGTAGGTCCAGGGCTTTGAAGTTCAAGGATGAAGACAGCAAGCTGAGCACTGTTCAGGCATCTTTGTGTGTTCCTCCCAGGTCTCCAGAGGCTGTGTTTGGAGGCTAAGGGGGAGTGATTTCAGCTGCATGAACACCGGTTAGGTACTCTGGAAAATGGGGAGAAAAATGTATTCTGTTCTGCTGGTTGAAGGATTACATTACATCCAGAGCCCAAATCTTTAGGGAGGGAAAGAGACAAATTGAACTGCTCCTGGGAGCTGGCACCAGGCTGCTAGGGGCTGAAGTCTATGTGTCTAAAAGGATGTTTGTAAGAAAAGAGGATGTTTTCACTAGGGAAGGATAGCTCGGGGTGGGGGGGTGTGACCTTGATCTTCGGGTCACTGAACGTGGTACATACACACGTCAGTGGGTGTGCTCGCCTAGGAGTGGATGGAGTGCTCTGGGGGAGAGAGAGCAAGCTCCCGATCCCAGAGGTGTTCCAGAGACAGAGAATTTGAGCTTCACACAGGAGGCTGGATGACAGGGGTGTTTTAGTCATATCAGAACCACCCAGGGAACTAAGAAATGCAGCTTTGCTGGGTCTGGGGTGGAGCCTGACAACCTGCATTTTTCTTTTGAAAAACCTTAACGAAACTGCTGGTTTGGGGGTAACTGAAGGAAATATAAAACGGAGAATAATTTGCAAGTGCATCTAGAGGAGGATGTGTCTTCTGCTCAGAGCCCCGCAGATCCCAGGGGGCCCCGGGGGCCCGTACAGGCTCCCTGCTTCCTCGCCCTCACCTGCCCCACCTGTCAGGGCTGTTCTCCCCTAGGAGGACCCCCAAAACCAGCTCATTTTGGACCTCCCACCCTTGAGAAAGCTTTGCCTCAGCTTCGTTTAAATTCCTCCACAGCAGATCCCGAGAGGAAGACTTGGTGCCGGTGGTTTACTGGGGAGGTGGTCCCAGCAAGCACAGTGAAAGGGGACATGAGGCGGGACGGGGTAAAAGCCAGTCAAAAGATTTTTAGCAAACAGTTCGCTTCTGTGGGTGGTTGGGGCTCACTGCTGTTGGGGACCCTATGAGGGACGGTGGGGAGCACATCTCAGGGCGGTCCAGCAAGGAGCAGGGGAAGCTGGGGGGACTTTCTCACGGCGCCCACCCCCCCGCTGGATGAGGCCGCCTTGCTCACTGTCCCTGTGACGGGAAACCGCGTGCTGACTAAGCAACGGTGAGAACAACACCGAGGCGGCGTTCAATACGCTTCCTCCTCAGCCCCCATCACACTGCCACCGATGTCCCAACGCGCAGACAGGAAACTCGACAGCAGAAACGTGACGAGGGCCACCTGAGGTCAGCGCAGCCGGTGGACGGCAGAGGCCCACCCAGCGCCGTCTGATCCCAGAGTCATTCCACGTCCCGGGACTCCCCCGAGTCCGGTGGCAGAGCACAAGGTCACTTCTGGTGCTCAGTGGATGAAAAAGTGGAATGTAATTTGTTTCAGATTTATTTAAAGGCATAGTGGAGTAAATATATAAACTATATCGAACCAGTGATTTCACAGCTGTTATTTCTTAGGAGGAGGAGACTTTTTTCCCCCCAACAAGTAAGTGAATTGAGAGTTAAAGAGAAAGATGAAATAAACAATGGGGAAGGTATGTGTGGGCGCGGCCGAACCGTGTGGACAGTGAGTGGAGGACACAGGGGACGCGCCGCCCCGGACCAGCCAGGTTGCATCTCTGTGACGGGAGCTCGAGAGACCCCGGTTTGCTCTTCGGGGGAGAAACTGAGCCTGGGGGCCGCGGGGGAGCCCTGCGCACTTTGCACGGAGCCGCAGCTGCACACCACCCAGGGCCCTCTCGCTCCATCGCAAACATGCTCTCCCTCTCCCGTGAAACACTACGGGCTTTAAGTTTCTGGAAACCCAAGGTGTGTGAAAACAAGGAGCGGGAACAGCGGGAGCCCTTCTGACTGGGGCACAGCCTCGAGGAAGGCCCCTCGGTGCATTTTTTTCTCTGGCCCATACCGGACCTACTGTTCCCGATTTTGATTCCTGGGGAAAAATGTTTCACATTTTAAAAACACAAATATTTATTTTCTTTTCTCAATGTATATGCTGAACTTCCAGGTCTCCTTCCCCGCAAGCCCTCGCTCTCGCTGTGGAATGTGAGAGCTGCCCCCTTTTTGGGGGGTGGGGATCCATCTCTGTTCCTGAAAACTTACCTGTAGCATATTTCTGTGGCTCCGCTAATGAGCAGAGAAGTGACCCAGAAAAGGCGCCTGTGTTCCTCTGAGGAGGCCATAGGCCTGCCATTCAGAGCCGGAGCTGAAAGAGCCGTTTCATGGGCCCAGCTGCCGCCCCGGCCAAGGGAGCGTTGTGCCCCCAGCTCTGGACACAGCCCTGTCCACTGGGCAGAGGGGGCAGCTGGCGAGGGGACTTGAGCTCACGTTCTCCTCGTCTGCCTTCAGCAGGGCCACGGGCAGAGCGCTCTGCCTCTGTCACCGTCGGTCACCACAGCTGACTCCGGTCTGACCTGCCTTCACTAGTTCTTTCTTGTAGTTCATTTCTTCATTCGCACACCACATGCTCCGTCCCAGCCAGCGTGCTGCGTCCTGGAGACTCAGTGGTGACCGAGGCAGGCGAGACCCCTCCTCAGAGGGAGCTGACCTGCTGGAGGGGAGGCAGGTACTGCACTTATCACACAGTTTGGGGAAGTCTTAAGGACCACAGTCACCACGCCTGCAGTCGTCTCTGGGGAAGAGAGTTAGACTTAAGATGTGCACAGAGGAAAGAAGCCAGCAGCCTCCTGGTTTTCGGAGTTGGGGAGGGCTGTGAGCTGTCTGAACAAAGGAAACATAAATGGGGAAGTCGGAGGGAAATGCTTTCAATTTCCTTGCTCTTTAAAACTGGGGCAAAGGGGACTGAGACCTGAGTTCCAGGCTTGGTGTAGCCTCGAAACAGGCTGGGTGGCTTCAGACAAGTCACCAACTTCTTTGGGCCTCAGTTTCCTCATCTGACAAATGGGCTAAGAGGCTCAGATCTGCTGGCATCACTCAGGGTTGTAGGGAGAACAGAGGAGTATGGTGATAGACCAAGTGACCGCCACTATTGATGAAGGCCATGAGAGAGTTGGCTGGGTCAGCTGTGCCCAGCAGTCATTTTGCAGAAAATGTCTGTATGTTTCGTTTTATTACGGCACAATTTACATAGAGCGCAGTGCACAGGTCTTAAGTGGTAACGGTGCTACCCCTGGGAAAAGGGCAGTTCATTGGCCCCCGTCTCCGCTTCTGTCCTGTCATTGCCTCCTTTCACGGTCCCAGTGAGGTGGGCAGACCAGGTACTGCCACTCCCATTGCATGATAACAAGTGAAGGCTCAGAGAGGTTGAGTTACCAGCTCCAGGGCACACAGCTGGTCAATAGCAGAAGTGGGTGTGATTCTGGGTCACTCAGGTGGCCAAGCCCTCGCTCCTTTCACTTTACCCTATCGACCACTGGACCTTCATGCACCTCCAGGGACCATTCTGGGTTATGTTCCTTTACTGACAAACCTTTATTTTTGTCTCCTCCATGCAAGGCCCTGGGCTGGGCCTGCGTGCGGAGATTAATCAACCAGACCCTTACCCACTCATGGATGAGACAGACAATACACGGAAGCGCAGAGAGGTGGCATAACCCGGGGTAGTGGGGAAGAGGTGGGCATGGAGAAGGTACCAACCCGGGGCCCTATTCTGGCAGTGCCACTTAGCTGTGTGACTTCAGACAAGTTACTTCACCTCTCTGATTTTCCAGTTTCTCATCTGGGAAATGAGGGAGATAATACTAGCTGCCTCACAGAGTTGGCAAGAGAATTAAATGAGATAGTTCATGCAATTCTGTTCCTCTAATCAACTCTAGGAGGTAGGCGCTGTTAGCACCCCGTTTTCAGTTGAGGAATTGGAGGTGAAGTGACTTGCCCGCGGTCACGCAGGTGGTATGTAGCAAATCCAGCTCACCTGGTCCAAGTCTGTGCTCTTAGCTGCCTTCTCTGCTGCCGGGCATGTGCCAAGTGCTAATGTACACGCTACTCCAATTATGATCTTGAAAGATTCGGTTTGGCAGAGTGAGTGCCATGAAAAGCATTCTGGGCAGGTTGCCCTGTACGTGCGAAGACTTGGAAGAGAACTCTGAGAATCCAGGTGTAGCCGGAGAGCAGGGCTTGCATGGAGGGGCAGGGGACAGCTGAGCTGGAAGAGGGGAAGTGTGTGCAATGAGAAATTGGGGTGGGAACTGCAGGTAAGAGGAGAATCTGGGTGTGGGATGAGGATGTGGGACAGGGCTGGGGCATGAGGCTGTGGCACTCCGTTTCCCTGGGCCTAGAGTCGCAGCTTCGGGGCAGCTTAGGTTCTGGCCCCTGGGGGAGACGCCCTCCATCCTGCAGCTGCGAGCTCTGGTTGCTTCTGGAGGCAAAGGAGCCCTTGTGGTCGGAGGGGCCTCTCCAGCCCAGGCCAGGCAGCTTACTCCCTTTCCCGGCTTCCTCCCTTCCCTCTCTGGAGGGAGGAACACACACACACACAAACACACCTCCATTTAGCCGGGCCCCACCCCCCACACAAGGAGGCAAGGGGCAGGGCAGGGCCTCCTGGCTAGGAGGCTGGGCAGCAAGGTTGATAAGACCAGGAGCCTACTGCCCTCCACAACTGTGCCGGCTGCTGCCCGTGCTGCTGGGACCATGAGGGTCATCTCTGGTGCCAGCCTCATGCTCTGCGGTCTGCTGCTGCTGCTCCTGGTCCCACGCACACTTGGCCTCGCCCCCCAGCCCAGAGGTGAGGGGGCCTATGTGAGGTGGGGAATGATGGGGGAGCAGCCCCTGGCCAGCAGCCTGGGGGACTGGGCACTGAGACGGGCAGAGATTAAATGGGATCAGAGATGAGGAGAGGGGCAGGGAGGTGGGGTGGCCAGCGGGCTAGCACAGGAGCAGACGGAGATGGTGACACTCCTAAGAGCTAGGGCTGGGGTGGCCCTCAGTCTGTTCTGTCGGGGGACACGAGTGAGCTGCTCTCTGGAGCCCCAGCATCTTTCCTGGGGTTTCTCAGCCCCGGGCTGCCCTCAGGGGCTGTGCATGCTGCAGGGACTGCTGTCTCTTGGGTCACTGAGGGCAGGAACCCCACAGAGAGCAGCTGAGGTCTGGAGCTGCACCAAGCCCAGCGCTGAGCTCATGGTTCTGTGATGATGAGCCTACCGCTGGGATGGGAGGTGGGGGCGGGTGCTCACCACTTCTGCTCACCAGCCCCTGCACACTGTGCCACTCCCTATTTCAGCCTTGGGTACTGAATTCTCAAATGCCCAGCTCTTCCTGTACAGATGGGGAAACTGAGGCTGGAAGGAGGAAGACCTATGACTACATAGTGAGAGAACCCCAGAGCCTCCTGGCTCTTGATTCACTGCTATTTCCCTCTCCTTCTCTGGGCCTCAGCTTACCCATTTTTTGGTACCCTTATCTAGTGGGGACCAAGGAGAGGCTGCAAGGTCATCTCTAAGGTCCCTTGAGTGATTCTGGTGCCTGGGTGTAGGGCATGGTGTCTGGTGGCTGGGCGAGCTGCACAGATGTGCTGGTTCCTGCATCTTCCTGCACCTCCTGTGGGAGAGGGCAGCTCAGTTCAGACTCAGTTCTCTTTGGACTGAGCCCTGCTGGCCGCGGGCCCAGGCCCGTGACTGCATCAAGCAGTAGCCTTCCTCCCCACTGAGCAGGTGAAACGGAAGCTCCTGAAGGTACAGGGACCTGCTCAGGGCCCCCGGGTGCCTGAGCTACGATCTGAAGCCCTCTCTCCCTCACTCCAGTTCCAAGCACTTCCCAGCACATGGTGCTACCTCCCAGGTGTCTGGAAAGACATCTTTCATTGGAGTTGTGTCTCAGGGGCCTACCTGGACAGCCTGCCAAGGCAGCTGCTAGAAATTTCTGCCCCTTCCCCTACCCTTGGGTACCAGCCAGCAGGCATGCGCCGGCCTTGGGAGACTGAGTCCACTTTGCTGATTTGTTCTGATGTCCAGATGCAAGAGGCCGTGTTGACGGGCACTGTGCTGGGCCTCAGGCGGGTCCACCCTGGAGGGCCACCCTCGGGCCCGGCCTCCCAGCCTGGAGAAACAGCCGACCCTTGTTTGCGGAGCGTGCCGGGCTCAGACCTGAGAAGTGGGTTGGAAAGGCTGCCCTAACCTTTGCAGCCCCCTGAACACCCACTGCACACCCTGCCCCAGGCGGGCACCCTGCGTGCGTGTTTTCTCATCCTCAGAGGATCCTGTGAGGACGGGGTAATCAGCTCATTGTACAGATGAGGAAACTGAGGCTCAGAGAGGTGAGGTGAGTTACCCCAGGCCAGAATTTGAGCCTCTCCTTCCTAGGAGCTGAGCTGTGGGGTCTTTAGCAAATTGCTTGGCCGAGTGCCCACGTGCTGGCAAAGGCTCCAGTCCAGTCTGCTCTGCCTGAGGCCTCAAGTCTGGACCTAAGTAGTCCCGATGCTCTGCTCCTTTGTCTGAGTGTTTTGGCCCCGCCTCCCGACCTCTGCCCTCTGCTCTTTGTCATCTCCCTCCTCCCCCTCCCAGGGCACCTCTGCCGAACCCGGCCTACGGACCTGGTGTTCGTTGTGGATAGCTCGCGCAGTGTGCGGCCGGTGGAGTTTGAGAAGGTGAAGGTGTTCCTGTCGCAGGTCATCGAGTCGCTGAACGTGGGGCCCAACGCCACCCGGGTGGGCGTGGTCAACTACGCCAGCTCCGTGAAGCAGGAGTTCCCGCTGCGGGCCCACCTTTCCAAGGCCGCGCTGCTTCAGGCCGTGCGCCGCATCCGGCCGCTGTCCACGGGCACCATGACTGGTCTGGCCATTCAGTTTGCTATCACCAAAGCCTTGAGTGATGCTGAGGGTGGCCGCGCCAACTCCCCCGACATCAGCAAGGTACGTGCCCCCATGCTGGGGCCCGGCTGTTTGCAGGTTCCCACTGGGTGCTGAGAGCTTTGCCCACATACGCTGGAGTTCTCCCCATACCCCTAGGAGGTGGCCATTTACAGATGGGAGCAGACCCAACCAAGAGAGGTGCCGGAGCTGAGCCCCTCTTTCCCCATCCTTCTGATCCCTGGTGAGGACAGGATTATTTCATCTAGTTGACCTTGGCTTCCCAGCCGGTCCTCCTTGAAGGCAGAGTGAGAGAGTTCCGATGTTTACATGACGGGTAAGGGCGTGGACCCTGCCACCAGCCTGTACAGGTTCAAGTCCCTGCCTCACCGCACTAGCCTCTGAGTGAGTTACTTCATCTCATGTGCCTCAGTTTCCTCACCTATAAAGCGGCAGTAACATAATGCCTTCTCAAGGGGCTCTCAGGAGGGCTAAGTGAACTCATAAGCACAAAGTTCTCAGAAGCCCCATGTAAGTATTAGCTATTAAAAAAAATATAAGCCTTAGACCAGGGATCCCCAACCCCCCCAGGCTATGGACTGGTCTGTGGCCTGTTAGGAGCCGGGATGCGCAGCAGGAGGTGAGCAGTGGGTTGGGGAGAGAGGGAAGCTTCACCTGTATCCACAGCCGCCCCCTTCGCTCACATCGCCACCTGAGCTCCGCTTCCTGTCAGATCAGCGGCATTAGATTCTCGTAGGAGCGTGAACCCTCCTGTGAACTGCGCGTGTGAGGGACCTAGGGTGCGCGCTCCTCATGAGAATCTAGTGCCTGGTGGTCTGAGGTGGGGCTGCGGCCGTGATGCCCGTGCTGGGGTGCGGCTGCAGATACAGATCATCATTAGCAGAGAAGTTTGGCTGCACCAAGAACACCCTGAAACCATCGCTCCCCACTCCCCCAGTCTGTGGAAAAGTTGTCTTCCACGAAACCAGTCCCTGGTGCCAAAAAAGTCGGGACGGCTGTGTTAGAGGAGAGGGGCTCAGGCAAATGAGGCGATGTTCCCCAGATGCACAGTTGGCGAGGGCTCCAAGCGGAGTGCTGAGCGTTTCCACAGACCTGCACCCATGTGACAGTTTCAGGACTCGGCCCAGGGCCTGTGAGTCCAGCCAGGTGTCCTCTCCCGCGCTGGTCCTACACGGACTCCAGCACCTCCCCATCACTGGCTGCTCTGATTGGACTGAGGATGTGCCATCTGCCTGCCCGGGGCCCCAGCCCCGAGAAGCACTCTTTCTCACCCCCTTGTGCACCCCCCTCTGGCATGCAGTACACGACTGAGACATGAGTGTCGAGTGGACACAGTGCTGCTCAGAGGTGGTGTCTCCACTTTGCAGAGGAGGGATCTGAGGCCCAGGGAGCTTAAGCACGGAGCCCAGCAAATAAGTGGTAGAAGCGCTCCCAGGCAGCAGCATATAGCCCCAGTCATCATGGCCCTCGCAGAAATGGCATATCGGGCGGCCTGTGGGTCTTAGTGGGAGTCAGTTACAGGTTTTGACATGAGGTTGATGGGTCGTGGCGACTGGGAGGGTGTGGTGGCCCCGGGCGATCCTAATGGAGAGAGGTGAAGGGGATGGTGGAGACATCTGTAGCTGCCACATCTGCAGAGTTAACCGTTTCACCCCAGCTCAGGCCAGTGGCCTGGGGTGGGTGAGTAAGGAGAGTTCCTCCACTAGCTGGAACAGAGACAGAGGTCTGGGGGAGCTGGCACCAGACATTAGGGGTTCAGCCTAGACTTTACCTGTGGGAAGTCCTTCAAGGTGGATCGAAAGTCCCAAGACTGGGCTGCAGGGGGACTCGAGGAGACTGGGCCTCAGAGGAAGGCATGTGGCAGTGAGTCGTCTCAACTGGGTTGTCAGTGCAGGAGCCCCGGCCTCTGGAGGGGAAGAGATCATGCAAGCTCACTCCCCAGGGGACCAGGGCAATGACACCACAAATAACAGTTCCCCTTCCTGGCTTCTCACTCTGAATCATCTCACTTGAACCTCACCATAAGCCTCTTTCCTAGATGAAGAAATGGAGGGTCGGAGCTGAGCTGTGATTTGTGGGGTTGCATTTCTAACCCGGGCCTTTCTGAACCACCAGGGCCAAGCGTGGGGACCCAGGAATCAGAAGCAGGTCCAGGTCAGAAGCAGAGAAGCAGCCCAGGGGGCTGGATGCCAAGTTCTAGACTCTGGTAAAGCTATGAGGACGCAGCTTCAGGGCAGGCTCAGGCACGAGGTGATGAGGGCCAGGCTCAGCGCCAGCGTCCCCTCCTGGCTCCCTTTCCAGGGTGCAGAACAGGGGAGCCTTATGGGAGGACAGCAGACAGTCGTTTCCTCTGTGGAAAGGACAAGTAGCATCTGGGAATGGAGAGAGAAAAGGTGGCATCTATGGGGGACTGGCTCCCTTTCTCTGCTGCCCTCTGGTGGCCAAAATGCAGAACTGCATGGTGTTGGCACATTTGCTTGGCCACCCGTCAGACGCCCCCGTCTGGGCAGGGGAAGGCATGGTGCTGACCTCTGTCTGCCTGAAGTAGGAGACATCCAGAAGCCCTTCAGATGGGAGAACACCTCAGCCTTGCCTCTTTCAGTCAGAGGAAACCTGTCTTCTCTTCCTCTAGCCTTTTCCTCTTCCCTGGGGCAGAACCCTGGAGGGGAGTTAGATTCACCTGCAACCAACTAGCCTCAGTCACCTCTTCTGCCAGCGGTCCCAGGGCTTACTGGAGGGCAAAGAGCCGCGAGGGGGGCCCGTTCCTCACACGTTTCCCCATGTGTGGCAGGTGGTTATCGTGGTGACGGACGGGAGGCCTCAGGACAGCGTGCAGGATGTGTCTGCCCGGGCCCGGGCCAGCGGCATCGAGCTCTTCGCCATTGGCGTGGGCCGCGTGGACAAGGCTACGTTGCGCCAGATCGCCAGCGAGCCACAGGAGGAGCACGTGGACTACGTGGAGAGCTACAGCGTCATCGAGAAACTGTCCAAGAAGTTCCAGGAGGCCTTCTGCTGTGCGTGGGGCGGGGCCAGGATGGGGGCGGGGCGAGGGGCGGGGCAGGGGGCGGTGGCCTATAAGAGCAGCGACTGAGCTAGAACTAGGAGCTGGGGTGGGGCCAGGGCTGACAGGGTAAGGCGAGGCTGACCCAGGAGTGGATCCCCAGCCCGGGCTGAAGGGATTTTGGGAGAGGCGATGCCAAGACCCCTTTTATGTGGCAGGGTCCTGGTAGGGACCTAGGGGAGGCGGGAATCCAGTAAAGAGAGGGCCTGGAAAAAAAACCTGTGCGTGTTTGGATGTCGGTGGGAGGGGTTAGGTGCTCAAGTGTTCTCTTGATGCAGGAGGGTCTGAGGGGCTTGGGCACCGGGCGGCAGAAGGTTTACAGTCCTTTGAAGAGGGGAGGTGGGCTTGTGGACTGTCTTTGGGACGTGACCAATCAGAAGGGGTGGGGTCTCGAGTAGGATGGGGCGGGGCCAAGGCAGGGACTTTCCCTCCCATTTGTAAGATGAGTCTAAGAAGACCAGGCGTGTTATTGTGAGAATTCCGTGAAGTAACGCATGGTGCTCTATAGGTGGTATTTAACAAACACTTGTCAGAAGTCTTGTGCATGCTGTGTGCTTCGCTGCATGTGTTGTTCTAGACGCATGGAATACAGCAGTGAACAGAATGGAACACAAAAGCTCCCGCCCCTGTGGCCTTTACCTTTTTAGCAGGAAGTTTTAGTTTTATCATCAGCATTATCACCTTCTTCAGGGATGTCAGCCCTGGTGCAGTGATTCCAGCATTGGGATGAGGCTCTGGGGCTTGGGCCTCATGTAGTTGAGAGCCGCAGTCTCCCTGAGTGAGGGCCCATCCTGGCTGAGATATTCGAGGCCCTGTGACTGTGAGATTCTGAGTCTCCTCCTGTCCCCACAGTGGTGTCAGACCTGTGTGCCACAGGAGACCATGACTGTGAGCAGGTGTGCATCAGCTCCCCGGGCTCCTACACCTGCGCCTGCCGCGAGGGCTTCACCTTGAACAGTGATGGCAAGACCTGCAATGGTCAGTGGGGCTGGACACAGGCAGCCATGGGGAGGGTGGGTCAGGGAGGGGATGGGGCCTCGGCTACGCCCCAGCCCCTCTGAGCCTCCCCACACTTTGCCTGTGGGCCAATCTGCAAAGGTGGTAGATTCCTTCTAGAGTTTGACATCGGCTGAAAATTCTCATCTGATTTCCCCTTTTTGACACAGAGGGTGGTGGGTTTGGTGTGGTGGAAGGAATCACATAGTCTTGAGTTCAAATCTTGGTGCCACTACCTCTGAGCCTTGTGATCTTTCAGTTTTCAATGCTGTAACACAGGCCAGGAACTTTGGCTTTATAGAGAGAGCTTTGAGGACAAGATGGGATGAACCTTGGCACAGAGCGAGGCGTGTGGGAGGTGCCCAGCCAGTGGCCGGAGGGACGACTGCCTTTCAGCTCCATCTCCTTGCCTTCTCACACTCCCTAGTCTGCAGCGGTGGCGGGGGCAGTTCGGCCACTGACCTGGTCTTCCTCATCGATGGATCCAAGAGTGTGCGGCCGGAGAATTTTGAGCTGGTGAAGAAGTTCATCAACCAGATCGTGGACACGCTGGACGTGTCAGACAAGCTGGCGCAGGTGGGGCTGGTGCAGTACTCGAGCTCTGTGCGCCAGGAGTTCCCACTGGGCCGCTTCCACACCAAGAAGGACATCAAGGCGGCCGTGCGGAACATGTCCTACATGGAGAAGGGCACCATGACCGGGGCTGCCCTCAAGTACCTCATCGACAACTCTTTCACTGTGTCCAGTGGGGCTCGGCCTGGCGCTCAGAAGGTGGGCATCGTTTTCACCGACGGCCGGAGCCAGGACTACATCAATGACGCTGCCAAGAAGGCCAAGGACCTTGGTAGGTGCTCCCTCCTGGCCCCTGAGCAGCAGTGATGACCAGGGCTGCATGGCAAACCCCAACTGTAATTTATCTTAGCATCTATTCTGATCAGTGCCCGTAACCCAGCTTCAAATCTGAACAAGGAAGGATTGGTTCATCTATGTCTTTCTTATATGGGTGCCAAAACTGAGGCCCCAGAAAAGTATGTGGCTTGTTTTGATGGTCCTTTAGTGAGTGGAACTTTCCAGTTGAATGTTCCCAAGGACATACCAACTGTTGGAAGGCAACTGTTACCCACTTTGGGATAAACCTGAGCTTTAGTTTAAGTCCCAATTAAGTGAGGGTAATAATAACTACTGGATGATGGTTATAAGAGTTAAACGAGATTACAAAGCTCCCAGTGTAAAGAGTTAGTGCAGGTCTAACACAGAGCAGAATCTCAATAAATGTTGATTTCCTTAATGTCTTTGTCCCAGGCGTTGTGCCTGCAATTCCAGCAGCTGCCACCAGGAGGTATCTGGGGTTGCTTTCCCTGGGGGGAATCTTGCAAGTGGCTGAGCCACTGCTGCTCGTCCCCATCACCATCCTTACTTGTCTTGGCTCTCTTGGCAGGCTTTAAGATGTTTGCGGTGGGTGTGGGCAATGCCGTGGAGGATGAGCTGAGGGAGATCGCCTCCGAGCCCGTGGCAGAGCACTACTTCTACACGGCCGACTTCAAGACCATCAACCAGATTGGCATGAAGTTGCAGAAGAAGATCTGCGTGGGTGAGCGAGGCCAGGGCTGGCCTGGGTGGGAGGGGCAGGGGGGGCCCTGGGGGTGGGGCATGGAGCCATCCTGGAACTGGACCTGGGTGGGGAGAAGCAGGAGCTGGGGTGGCACCACGAGTTGGCAGAACCAGGAGGGGGCTGGCCAGTCTAACTCTTACTGCCAGCACACGTGTATTTTCTGAATGCTCATTACATGAATGACACTGTCCTCAGTGGTCTCCAAGGATTAAATCATTCAATTCTATTTGGTAGGAACATTTTTATCCCCACTTCACAGACAGGAACACCTAGGCCTGAGGGGTAGAACAATTGTTAATAACCGGGGAAGCTGGGATTGGAATTCTTGTTACTGGAGTCCTTTATCAGGGCTCTGGGCGATCAGGAAGACGTTCAGGGGTCGCCTCCATCACTCCCAGGAGCTCTGTCTCAAGAACCTACACACCTCTGCCCCTCAGGTGTTCCAGGCCACACACTCCCCTAGACTCCCTAGTCTTGGCTCTGGGCAGTGACTGCTCCGCCTCCCTGCCTGCCAACCACTTACCATGACCTTGTCTTTCTCCACTTCTGGTCCACTCCAGAGGAAGACCCGTGTGACTGTGAGTCCATTGTGAAATTCCAGGCCAAAGTGGAGGGACTGCTGCAGGCCTTGACCAAGAAGCATATCCTTTTCCAGAGGCCGATGCAGGGAAGGGGAGGGGCCAGGGGCCGGGGCACTGTGGGGAGAGGAGAGGCGACCATGCTGCTTTGTGTGGTGGGGTTGGGGCAGGCTCCTCTTTCCCTGCTCCCTGCTGAAGACAGGCTGGGTGCTGGCCAGAGAGGCCGACACCGGTTTTGAGACCGACCTTGTCAAAAGTAGTGGCTTCTAGAGTGTAAATGGAGAAACTGAGGCAGAGTTCAAGATCTAGAGATGGACACACAGAGTCCTGGACACATTTAGGAAAACATGGTGCCTGTGGTCACCCGTCTTCTCAGGCTCTTGGCAGCGTGACCAACAGCGGCCCCCGCTCAGATGGGCCTGGTCAGGATTAGGTGGGGGCCCAGCAGGCTGACACCCGCACCTGGGCAGACTGGGTCTTCAGGGCCATCGTACTGGCTGGGCTTCGGAGAGCACCATTCTGAGGGCGGTGGACGGGTGAGGCTGGACATCGGGTGAGGCTGGACATCAGCGAAATCACATGCTGTGGCGGGGGTGGGGGTGGGGAGGGGGTGGTGGTGGTGAGAGAATGCCCTGAGGGGGGCACTCTGCAGGAAACAGGAAGCGGGGGCCCTGAGTGCGGGTGCCACTCCCTCCCTCCCTTCTCTGTCAGCCTGCGCCTCTCCTTAACTCTGGGCCCACTGGAGGCTGTGAGTAAGCGGCTGGCCATCATGGAGAACAGGATCATCTAAGGCCACTGGTCCCGCTGTGGCGCCTCCACCTCTCGGCCCCAAGCACAGCTCACGGAGTCCTGCGTGTGTCCCCTAGAGCCCTGAGTTTAGTCTAGCTTTGTCCTTTAGTGAGGGGTAGGTGGGGGGGCCCTGCCCCTGGGGTGGCACCAGGCCTCTCCTTCTCCTGCCTTCGAGCCCTGCTCAGGGGAGTGTGTGTCAAGTGCGTCTGCTGGAAGGGTGTGGTGTCCGCGAGCACGTGTGTGAGTGTGTGTGCACGTGTGTGCCCGAGGGCCAGGGCGTGTCTGGGAGCAGTGCAAGAGCAAGTACACAGGCGTGAGTGTAACTGGGACTGCATTTGCATTTTTTATCCAAAAGCTTAATATATTCCTCTTTTTAGTTAACCCTTCATGACTGCGAGTGCTGTGAATCTTATTCTGAGTTCTCTCTATTCCTTTCTGAAAAACAATTAAAATGTGATTTGACTGAAGCACTGAATGGGCCGGAGGCAGCGTGGTTATTTGGGGGGCAGGGGAAAGGACGGACGAGGGGCACAGCTGGGTGGTGGCACTGGTGGGAACAGCGATGACAGAGACGGCTCCAAAGCCCCAAACCCGCTGATGTTTGTCCTGCCTTCCAGTGACACATTCATTTCCATGGTCTCATTTCATGTTCCCGGCAGCACTGCCCAGAGCAGGCCCGAGTCCTCCCCGTTCCACGGACGGGAAAGCTGAGCGTCCCAGGGAGAAGTGACTGGCTCAGCGCTGGGCCAGCTGCAGCGACAGGACTTGTATCCAGGACTCCAGGTCCTGAAAAGAAAAAGGCACAGGGCAGAGGAGCTATGGCTCCTGATCAAGCTTCATTCATTCATTCATTCATTCAGGCAAAACACAGAGTGTACACCCCATGTCAGATGGTGGGGGGGGGCCACTTCTGAAATAGACACAGTCCCTGCTCTTAAGGGACTCAGAGTGGAGCAGGGTGCCCAGCCACCCCCCTGTAGCTGGAGGACAAGACAGTGGGTTTGGGTTGTACACAAGGAGTGCATGTGTGAGAGAGAGGTGGCTGGAAGGGTCCCAGCCCAGGTGCCCGCATTGGAGTCCTCTCTGTCGGTTCCTCGTGTTTCAGAAGCTTCACCCCACCCCCAACACAGACGGCTACAGCCCCCCAACCCCCGCCCAGGGACAGCACAAGGGAAAGACTGCTCACCCCCGGGTCCCCCCAACCCCACCGGGGTCTGCCGGCCTCCCCTGGGCCCCTCTGGATCAGCCACCCCTCTGGAATGTCAATCCCTCACCTCCCAGCGGGGAAGCTTAGGTGATTTTCTGAACTCATCCTAGTTTAATGGAGCATTTTTAGTGTTACTACCAGATTCACACTTGAGAGCAGGTAAAAGGCTTTTACAAGAAGCTCAGAGCATCCTGGAAGATCTTCTTCCTTAGAGGCAGTTCGGGGAGGCGGAACGACACCAGCAGCAGCACTCAGGGGCCACAGTTGCACAGCAGACAACCTCACAAGAGCAGCGTGGCGTCACCTAACCACCCCGGGACGGGACCCGGCCACCGTCATCTGGGCGAGGGGTTTTCCTGCTGTCTGAGGAGACTCCTTGCCATACACCCCTGTGGCGATTGCTCAGCCCACACGTCCCTTCTTCTGAGACTGCCCCCCGCCCCCCACAGGGCTGGCCCATGGGACTTAGCTGATTGCTTGGGCCAGTGGGTAGACAGGCCGGGCAACTGGTGTCTCTCTTCTGGGAATTTGGACACGAGGACCTTAGCTACCTGGCCGCTGGTCCTGGAGCCGGGGGGTCTGTATTTTCCTCCAGGTGCACTAAAAGGCGGAGATTGGAGGCCCCCAACCTCAGGAGAGAAGAGAGGAGCACATGCCGGGCTGCTGATGGCTTTCCAGTTGTCTGTCGCTGTGTGACAAACTGCCGAAAAACGGGCTGGCTCCAAACAAGCCTCACTATTGCCATGATCTCGTGGGCTGCCTGGGCTCCGTGCCCACCCACGATTTGCGATTGTTTGGGTCTCAGCCAGGCTGGGACTTCCAGCATGACCACTCACGTGACTGCGGCCTCCGTAGGGATGGCTGAGAGGCGGGGCCTCCCTCTCTCTCTCTCTCTCTCTCTCTCTCTCTCTCTCTCTCTCTCTCTCTCGGTTTCTCTCTCTCTCTCTCTCTCTCTCTCTCTCTCTCGGTTTCTCTCGACGTAGTCTCAGGGCCTTACCCTCTCTGTGAGGTCCCTCCAGCAGGGGACCTGGACTCCTCACAGGGCAACTCAGGGCTCCTGAAAACTTTTCAGGTCTGAGGCACACCCCCAACCCAGTTGGCATTGAATTACTTTCATTGCATTTTATCGGTTGAAGAAGCTGCAGGCCAGCCCAAATTCTAGGAATGGGGAGACCAACTCCTCTTCTCCATGGGGGACCATAACAAGGACTTCGTGGCCACTCTTCACCCACCGCGTGGGGTCATTGCCCGGCTGCCCTCATGGGACCACTCAGTCAGATGCCTGGGAAACCTTCTCTGCGAAGCTCAGCGCGGTGGAGTCGGTTTCTGTTTCGTGCCCTGTGACAGCCCCGACTCGGCTGTCCCCTCGCCTCCACTTCCTTCCACCTGTGTTGGTGGCCTTGGGGCCCTGGTTCTTGTCCTTCAGTTCTGGGAAGTGACTGGATCAGTCCTGGGTTCCAGAGCACTCCTCAGTGACCGGGTGACATGGCAGGGCCTTTCGCCTCTCCGTGGGAGAGAAACCCCAGTGCCGCCCAGTGGGGGGCTGCCGGGTGCAAAGGAGATGCTGCGTGGGGAGCGGCAGCACGTTGTACCCACACTCTGCATCCAGGGTGCACTTGGTGTCACTGCTGCCATCTGGACGGTGGTTTCTGGGCCTCAGGGACACGCCCACACCTGTCAGCTTCTTAGCACCTCCCGTGCGCCCATCTGGCACTGGTGTTCCTTGAGATGCTATGGCCACCTGGCCTCCAGAGGCTGTGCCACCTGGAGCCCCTGTTGCCTGCTGGGAGACCACCCTGAGTGTGCGCCATGGCTCTCTGCGTGTCTTCTGCTCTTCAGCAGGGGCCTCGGCCCACAGGCGTCCTGCTAACGGTACCAACCCCCGGCTCCCCGGGAGCAGCGCCAGCCGGAGGGTGCAGGCAGGGCCTCGGTGTGGAAGGGGGTGTGAAACCACTGAGGAGGTGTCAGTAGGAAGTGTGTGACCAGAGTTTCTAATTATAAGTGGGACTCATGTTCTTCCCGCAAACACTCGGTGGGGTGTGAGGCAGGCTGTACAGAGGCCTCAGCTGGGATGGGCAGGGCCGAATGCCCTCATCTCTCACTGCGGGGGGCGTGGGGACTCCGAGGCTGGCCTGCTAGGTCCGGGGCAGGATGACCGGCCAGCTGTTGGGGTGAGGTCGAGAGTCCTTGGGCTGGGTGCAAATCCTTCCCTGAGGGTCCTGATGAATCTTTCCAGTGACTTTATGAGTTAGCCATGGTGCCACCATTTCACAAGGGATGGGACTTGTCTCAGTAAGTGGAGGAGCCGGATTCCTAGGTTTACCCGAAGCTAAGGCCTTTCTTAACAGTGGCATGACCCTAGCTTTGCTGCCTGTGATCGTGCGTGACAAGCTCTGGGCACACCGTAGGTGCTCACATGATCCCAATGGCCTCTCACTTCCCCCATCATCCTCCCGGGCAGTCAGCAGGCTGACAGTTCAGGGGAGGGTGGACCTGGATCTGTAGGAGCCTGGAGCTGGACCCAGGTGCCTGAGAGCAGAGCGGGCAGGCTGGGCTCCCAAAGGAGGGGCAGGTGAAGGCCAGACAGGGAGTGCAGGCCCCACCGAGTAAGCTGGAGGGTGGAGAAGGTGTTGGACAGAGAGACCGATCAGAACCCAGGGCCCAGGAGGGGACCCCAGGGCAAAGGCTGTGGGGGACCACAGCCCAGAGGCTGAGAGCTGGTGGGACCCAGGCTGCTGTGTGTCCTCCGACCACCAGGCGCAGCTGGGTCCCCAGTCCCGGCTGAGCTGACCTGGGTTGGGATCTGGGGCCTGTGGGGCTGAGCTTCAGGCTTTTCCATGAAAGCAGCAAATGGAGGGAGCCGGAGCCTAGGACCCAGCCATTGGTGGGGGGAAGTTTCCAATATTCCTCCTGCAGGACCGAGGAATTCTGTGGCAGGAGGGAGAGGGCATGGTGCAGCTGGCAGGAGAAGCAGTGAGAGCAGCCACCCGGAGGCTGGACCACAGGCACAGGGGCCAGAACGGGGCGAGTTTGGGCGAGTCCGGTTAAAGTGACAGGGAGTTCACAACGACCAGCTTAAGTACGTGGAGGGAGTTGCGGGGTTCCCCAACTGAAGGTGCAGGGGCAGGCGGTGGCTCAGCAGTGTCTTCAGGCCGTAGTCTCTGTACTCCTGACGCTGGTCTTCACCTCGGTGCCCTCACACCCAGGCACGCCCTTTCCTCCGGATGGACGGCCCACAGCTCCACGCGCCCCCTGGCAGCTCTGAGGAAGGTGGAGCCGCATGTGGGCGTCTTTCATCCCCAGACTCCTGTTGCTAACTCATCACAACTCTCCCACAGCCACCCCCCACCCCCGCCCCACACACCTTCTCCATGTCGCTCCCTCCCTCTGCTCTCGGTTTGATTCATAGGAGCTTATAAGCAAATCCCACAAAGAAGGAAAGCCAGCATTTCCCCAGGGCAGCCAGTTTATTGGCAGAACACACATTACTTTGTAACCAATTTTTTAAATATAGATAAACAGTACTAAACTAATTAGGATTTTTCTTTCTTTCTTTCCTCAGGCCTTGGACGACAATGGGAGTCTCTTGGCCCCCAGCGAACTGGTTACCGGGTTTCAATAAGGGGTTTGTATTTGCGATTACAGTTCATTAATGGATTTACAAGAGAGGGAAGATGGCAAAGTCCGCTAAGGGGATTGTTCCGCATTTCTCCTCTTTTAATTACACGATTTTCTCCTGGACCAATGCGCTGTGAAAAATGGGCGGAGGGAGGAGTCCCAGCATGCCATCTGTTCCAGATGCAAATGCAATTCATGCCGGAGGAGGCAGGAGCGGCTCAGAGGCTCCCTGCGACCCCGGGGTGGGTCTGCCTGCTCTAGGAGCTGCCGTGGGGCGGGTGGCCAAGCCCCCCAGGGCTCAGTTGCATCAGGGCATGTGGATGTGGGGACAGAATGGGTCTGCTCCTGGGCACACGGCAACCTTTGAGTATCTGGGTCAGATTCAGATTTTAGGTCACCCTTTTAGGTGGTCCCGTTTTTTGGTCATCCTTTAGGTGCTAGGGGACAGACCTATGCCATTTCTACTTCAGACTTCTCAGGGAGTCATTTTGTAAGTTTGTTTCACAGAAGGGGACACCCAGGCTGCCAGTTGTGGGGCGTCACACAGCCAGCAGGTGGCAGCGCTGGGATTCGAACCC